CTGTAGGAACTTACATATGCCCGTGTAGGAACTAACATATGTAATTGTTTACCTGCTACTCTCGTGTAGGAACTTACTATTCCCCTATAATTATACTAAATAAATGGAGATAATTAATTAAATTAATGACTATAATAATTTAAACACATATATGTAATATACTCACTATTCTCTTATTTACCCTTGGAGTAATTAATAATATTATGTGTTGTTTATATTTTCATTTATACAGTGTAGATAAGTACATTTGTCGTTTAGGCATTTATAATGATAATAATAGGTAATAACTAAAAAAAAAATGTTCAATAATAGTTATTCCTGTTTACTATAGTAGACTTATACTTAAGTATTGTACTTAGTCTACTTAAGACATTTACAAAAGAATTTATCAACTAATATTTTGGAATGCTAAATATGTCTAGGAGTATTTTTACAATATCTATATTCTATGGATGCGATGCTATAAAATATGTGTTTTGGATATGAAATATAAAGTATAGTTATAGTTAATTTTTTACAATTACAATAATTCTCTTATAAAATATATTTAAAATCTAATTATACGTGAATCTGAATGTTTTGAAATGACAGAACGTAGCTATTATGAATGTATTATATCGAAATTGTGATGAGGGAAAGTTTTAATATGTACAATACCAGTGTAAATCTGCTGGTGCAATCGTCGAGAAAAGGGGCGGTGGCGGAAACCCTGTGGTGGCGGCCTGTTGCGTTTAGCGGTGTACTGGTGAACATATAGTATCGTAGTAACTCTGTTTTGTTGTCAGCTATATACGTACATATGTATATATAAATACGTGAGCTATGAGGAAGCTGTTTTATAGGGGGAGGGGGTTAAAACAAAAGGGAGACAACAAGTGGATCAAATCGTTTAAGCTAAAACCACCACCACCCTTCCTAACCTAACATCGTATAGGCAATATGTATATTATTTAAACGACCCTCGTTTTATTGTTCAACTCAGTCTTGTTTGTTATTTCTCATCTCGATGAAGTAATTTTAACGCGATTTGCTTTCGTATGGTAATACGCTATACTTGTGTCATGTTGCACAAAAAAATAAAAAAATAATTTTTTTTTACAGTGCATAGTGACTGATTACTGCAGAATTGTTTAACTGTATACAACAATAAGTGATAACATTTTATTTTTTTTAAACGCAGTTTTTACTCTTGATATGATAATAATGATCCTAATTTCCAAAATTTTTTTTTCTTTTTTTATCAATACTGACCAACTATAAAAACAATATTCAAAATGCGATATATTGATAAAATGATTAACATTGACATGAATTAATACATACGTATTATTTTATTTTTACTGTATCATATTTATTTAATAAGTATAATCTGTTTTATATTTTAGTGATCATAAAAAAAATATATGATTTCATTAGATTTGTTTCTTAACAACATACTAACTATAAAAAACCAGCGATTTTAATGGTATCTCGTGTACATTTCACATAGCGTACTATAGTGTTTTATTTTATAAAAATCATATTAATAAAATTTTTATGCAAGATTATTAATTATTGTCTTTAATAAATAAAAAATTTTTTTGAACTACTATAAAATAGATGATATAGTCAATGCAGCTTTCAAGTATAGACCAATTAATTATATTATTCAAAAATAAATTACATATTATTCTTCATTTACCTATCATATCAATTAAACGACATAGCTTTTGTATTTAAGTTGAATCCAGTTTAACCAGAATATAATATACTTAATATATAAACTATATATTGAATTTAAAACGTATTCCGTATCCGTCACCCGTTGTGTCACGACGACTTGTTTAATTTTTTTTTTCACAACTCTATTTAACAACAATTTGCATCTACAATATGCTTTAATATTTAAACACCGACAAAGAAATAAAATAAATTTAACATATCGTATATACATGCTTGTACCTGTAAGATAAATATTAAGGTAAAGTTTTTATATCCAAATAGTCTGAAGCATTGCATTATACATCTTTTTATTTATTCGTTCCAGTTCACAATATTTTAATTAATCTTATTATTTGTCGAGAAATTCTTAAACCCTGCCAATTCTCTCTGATATACACATATATAATACACATATACATTTTTCCGACTTGTTCGCCATAAAATAATTATCTGTCACCGGATAACAACATTTGTGAATAATTGTTACATCGGCAAAACCTTAAGTACATTTCCAATAAAATTATTCCAAACTGTTAAAATAAAATATTCTGATTCTACTTTCTATTCTATCCTCTATTGATGATAATGATAATAATATTATATATAAATACAAACGCCGTGGAATTTATTTTAATATTTGACTTTTGTTGTTTTACAGATCATTACCCAAGGACAATGATGCCGTCGCTAAACAAAAGAATAACAGGATAAAAAGCATCATGTGAGTGTTTAAATAAATATTTACTTTATTTTGCTTATTATTGCATATCAAACATAATGATTTAATAATTATTTTCGTATTTTTCCGAATTAATTTGGTACATTATTATTGGGTTTAACGCGTAAAACAATACAACCGGTTTCTTGTGAACCAAGACGATTGCCGTCTGACGGCGAAATGTATAGACCTTACTTAACACACATCTGTTGCACAACTGTATGACGACACATCATTCAAGGCGTTTTCTTTTAATTCATTTCAGCCCACTACACAGGCTATTAATAATAAAACGTTTAAATATTAATAAGCATTTACTTACTGTTAACGTGCTTCACATGCAGTATACAATTTTTAAACAATTAAAACCAATTAATTTTTACAATTATTTAAGAACAATATTGATTTCTTTAATCATGACATGTATTGATTATCGAACTACACAAAATATTTGGATTATAAAATTTTTACTTAAAATTATATGATTAAAATATGTATATACGTAAATTATACATTTGTGTTTTTTATAAACAGTTTTCACTCATCGTATAAGAGAAAGAAACAAAATACTTAATTATTGTAATTTGCAAGTAACTATACGATTAGGTAAATATTATATATAATTATGATAACCTATTGATGAATAAACTTTTTAAAAACTCTTCTCATTATATATTTAAACTCTATTTTAATTCGAAGAAAAAACCTAGCTTTTTTCTTCTGTACCTACGACTTTGTTTATTTTTATATTCTACCCCAATTGGTATCATTTTTTTCTCAGTTTTGTAAAATTTGTTGCCGGGAGACAAATGAGCCCTCCTCCAATCTTATACGTCATATGTGTATATAAATTAGGAATAATAACGACTGTCCATATAGACTACAGAACTTTATATATAACTTTATATAGGTACATATGATTTTTCCCAACCGTTGATACAAACGGTGCAGGTTCACAAAACTATCATCGTCGTTGTTTCTCATTAATGAACCACGCAACTACACTGGAGCAATGGTGTAGACGGCGAAAGAACGTCCTCGTAAGAAGGGTAGGTAGTGGTGGGATGAACTTCCGGCTAGTTTATGTACGTCACCTAAAAATAAACCGTCCTGCACCTTTTTTTTTATTTTTTAACATCTCAGCCACTTTTGTCCATATTATAATTTGTTTTTTAATTTGTCATATTTCGTTATTATCATTATCGTTATTTTTTTTTATTTTCTTGTATCGTCACACATAACATTTTTTTTTTTTTTGTTTTTTCTTAAAACCTAAAATATACAATTCCTGGACCGAAGCCACAAAGCGGTGGCAAGACGGTTATTTTCCACCCACGGCTTAACGACGACGTCCGCTAGTGGTAGAGAAAAAAAACAATCGCGGTCGCGAAATAAAGAGAGGAAGTGGTCCGCTATAGAGCTGTATAGTGAGCTGAACTATATGAGAGAATAATAATAATGTAAAAATTAGAAATGAAAAAACGCGTATTATTTTTGGCCGCTACAAAGGAAACGAGTCATGGTGTGTATGATACCACCACCGCCGCACAATCCCTTTGCCACCTCGTGCGTGGTCATCAACACTATCCCGCCGCTGCTCGTCGAGTTCTTCTCTCATTCAATAGGAGCGCACTCGCACTGTATACACTATCACAAACATACGCACATTTACTCACACACACTTACTGCACGTCTTCCGTCGTCCATTCATAAAAGCGTATTATATGATATTATACAAATATTATATTATTATTATATACATGTTAGGAATATATATATATATATATGATACACTATACATATAAACGTACACGCGTCGTATCATAGCTGCCGCATTTCCGTTGACAAAACAAAAAAAAAAAAATAGAAAAAAAATTCTTCACGCGTTATTATAATTATACGTTCACCCCCTCTCTTCGATTCTGCACAACGGTTCGAGCAGTATCGCCGCACTCGTTTGCTATGTATCATTAATGGTCCGTAAATACAAAGCGTTCCGCACTCGCCCTCTTATTAATTAAGAACGCAAGCACAGTGTATTATAAAGTACGGCGGTGTATTCGTTGTGTATAATATGTATATACCGACATTCTATTCGTTCTTCTTGTACAGGCGATGACCCAAAGGAGGGAAACGGAAAGAAAACACCGCGCCAACAGCTCTCTCTCTGTTATAGGTAGATTTTATAATTTACATAAGAGTGTGTGTGTGTACACATATACCGTAAAGCCGTTTGATTTATTTCACTATTTGTTTATTTATTTATATCTATATGTGCATTGTATATTTTATTCGCAAAACCGGATGTTGTCTCTGCATAAGGTATTCCGCGTCTACTTCTTCACTGTGTACAGAGACGCAGCTTTAATAATATAAGTTAAAACATATATATATATTTATATAAATATATATGTATCTTTTCGTATTAAATATTATGATATATGTAAGAAATTTATAAAAGCTTGATTTGATTTTTTTTCAATACTTCATTGCATTAAAAATAAATTTAAAGCTCTATTTATAATACAGTTTTTAATTTCTGGCCAATGATAGTTAAATTAGGGTACCTACTAAAATGTGTAACAGAAAGAATATATATTACTAAATAAGCATCTGTGACGTAAGAGCAAATTAAATCATAGATTTTGAGTGGAGCGATGAATGTATTAGTTTTAAAATAATGTTTTCTATTATTAATTTTTTTTTTTATCTGTAAAAAAAATTCAAAATTCAACTTTAAGAGTAATATTTGTTTTGTAGCAAATCAAATATATTTGGTATTTTTTTGACTCGAAACTAAAAATTTTTCTTTATTTTTCAAAATAATTAAAAAAACAAAAATTTTCGAAATTAATTAATTTTATTTGTAAGTAAAAATGCTTGAACATTTAATATAAGATTCCTCTTATAATTATAATTTATTAGTAATACATAGTCACATTTTTATAATTCTAGTGTTTTTACTATAAATTAATTATATATAGTTTAAAATAAAACAACATATAATTTTTTTGAGAGACCAATGTTCAAATTTTAATAACAATAGGTACCTCTACCTATACATACAAGTAAAATAACGATTTTCGTTATTTTTTGTAACTCAAAAAATATAAGTTATAGTAGTTTGAAACATTGCATTATTACCTAAATTATTAATTTCTATACACAATAAAATTCTCAAAATATTCGTACAAATTTAAAGTTATTTTTGTTTATTGGTTTTTGAAGTATTCGGCAAAAAAAATACTATACAAGTATATTATATTTTAAAATTGTTTGTCTTCATAATAACAAATTTATAGTAAAAAAAAAAAAATGATATTTCTTGAAAAGTTAATAATTTATCCTTTGGTAAATGATTTAATATGGTGAAATAAACAATCAACTCACTAAAATGACATTAAATTATTAATTTAATAATTAAAAATAAATTAATCAATATTATTATGTTCTAGTTTGATGATATATGTTATATTGCTATATAAAGTAAATAAAGTAAAAATATAATAATTAGTCAGTAATTCTGGACATCAGTAAACTCTCTATGACAAGTAGATGCCTAATTGATTAACTCTAAACATTATTATGCATAGCATAATATCATTTGATTATTTAATTGAGTAATGACCTATGTTATATGATTATTTTTATACATTTAAACACATCAAATACTTATATCTTATACTATAGCTTCTGCTCTCAAATCAAACAAGTAAACAGTTATAAATAAATGTATGTTATATTTTTTGTAAAAATCACATAAATAAAGAATAATTAAAAATAATCATTTTTTAATAAATTAGTTGAATAGTTAAATATTTTATGTACTATATAAATACTATACAGTAATATTAAAATACCTTCATATGAAATTAAATTACACATGTACTTAACTTTAAGAACACTTATCATAAAAAACAATTCACAGATAACAGTAGGTACTAAATATTATATAATCAATTCTTTGTTTTTTTTTTTATATATACACAAGCTCACAGTTTTTTAGGTAGGTTATCACTTACAAGTAATTACTAATCATATATAATTTCTTTTATATTCACAGCATTGGATTTTTCCAAGTCCACACATAGATACCTACACAATAATAAATTAAAGTCAAGTGCAGCCACGCGACTACCTATATGTATAATATTAAAATTATTCGTCTTAGTTATATTCTTATATCTTATGAGTTATGACTTATGAACAATTCTTAACTTTTAAATGTTATAGACATTTACGTCAGCTATAGATATTAGGTAGGTAGGTAATAAGATATTACTAATAACTAAATAGTACACATACATAGTGCTCACACAAATACAATTCGTCGTCAGTATATATAATAATAATAATAATAATGTATAAATATAAATACATTTTCGTAATTAGATTATACATGAATGATGAGTTTGAATTTATTATGGACGTTGTAAATTGCATATGGGAGATCAGAAATGGCTTTAGTGACAAAATCCGATAAATTAGATGAATATAATACTTATATATATTCGTATATATATTATTTATACAAACATTATTATGTTGAAATCACAGCATAAGATGAATGGTTAGAAAAACAACGCAATTTGTTTACTGTACCCAAGCAAAAGTTTTTAATTACGTTATACTGAAAAAGACTGTATAGTGACAGCGGCGGGTGAAATTGGGTCCTTTTTGCTTTTATCTTTATAACCCTCTGTACACTTCGTACACTTCACCGCTTGTCGACTTGCTTCTCGCTCTTTCTGCGTTTCTTACTCTCATCACATTGTTTATGGTCGGTTCGTTGAACAAGAAAGGTTTTGAAAATCTACTTAAGTCTTAAACTATCTTGAAAAATAGCGTTACGAATTTAATCGATAAAACTTATAAATATATATTTTAAATTAAACCCGACAAAATTATAATGTCGATATAATCAATTCTATGAACCTATTTCATTATTTAGTTCTTTAGATTCCGTTATAATTTGAAATATTCTCAGTTGTTAATCTTTTAAATTGACATTCAAAACTAAATTAATATGTAAAACAAAAAGGAAGTAACTTATTAAAGCAACACCGAGAAATTAAGTTAATCATGAATTAATTTACTTCTTATTATATGCAAATATCACGAACGATTAATTAAGTAATGTAAAGCAAGATGAATAATATGATGATTCTAACTAAATTAAAAATCAGGAAATATAGCAAAATGTAAATCTGTGGTGTTAAACCCGAACTTCAATAATTATTTTCATATCAAAACGTTAATATTATTTAGTCGCCTATAAATAATTATTCAAGAAACAATATTTTCTTGAACTAGTAAGATTTACAAATATTTATAGTTCCTATAACTTTAAGTATGTTATATAACATATATTTTAATATGCCTACATATGTGTATATTATACAGTGTGTGTTTAGGTCCATCGTAATAAGTTGATTTTTTAATATTTTTTTAATATTTTTTATTTTTTAGTCGTCAATAATTTATATGCGTTTGACGTTATAACATTATTATGCTAAGTTCACCGAAGGTTCGAAAAATAAGTAAATTAAGTATACATCTACTTTTTATACTGCACGTATTTTATTATATTCGTTGACATCATAATATCTTTGGAAATCGAATAGATGGAAGAGTAGACAACAAAGGGATAACACAATAATTAAAAAATAAAAAGTTACAAAAACAAAATAAATATAAAAACACACAACGAGAACAACCATACATGAAATTCACTTTGTGCTCATTTGCTGTTTTGGATTAATTATTACATTTTTAATGAATCTTCCCTCTCACTAAGTGCTCATTCACGCAACAACGCAATGATTCACAATTTAATATAAATTATTTGCATTTGTATTACACATATTACATATATTATTAAAAACAATATTGTATACATCTGAAAAAGAAAACATTATGTTTTGTGGGTACATAATATATTTTTTATACTATAATATTTTTAAATTCTCCACATAATTCAATATTATACTGTGTATTATAGTGTAATATACATCCTCGACGATAGTAATTACAATAATATAATGAATGTCCTTCAATCCTCGTATTTCTTCGAGATCTTAATAATAATAATAATAATAATAGTAATGAAAAATAAAAAAAACAATAAGTTCATGCAAAGGGGCGGTGGACACACATACACGTGGGTGCACACGTGGCTTGGTGCTACTTCCGTGGTTACTGCGACTGCTACTCCAACGACGGGGTTCACGTGCCGTTCTTTTATTTTTTTTTCACCACCGCTCCGGCCACTTAAAAAAACACAGTCAATAACATGGTATTGTACGCTCGATTATAGGCTGAAAAGAGGACAAGGAGTGTATACATAATTTTATTGGAATAGGAAGGGGACAATTAAATAAAATCTGAATAAAACAGCCGAGTGGTGTGGGAACATAAAAATCACCTATCCGAATGATTTCCAGTGAAAGCCTTCGTATATATATATATATATTTCAACGCTACTAATTGGGAACTGTAGATTGCGTGCAGCGACGTATTAAAATAAGTAATTTCGTGCTCGTTATTAGGCAAAGAACAAGGCGTAGGTACCTACTCTTGGAAAAATAGATTATTATAATATGGAAACGGGGAAGCGCACACGTATAGCGTCGTCGTTATTGTTTTCAACCGTCTTACTATCGTCGAAAGACGAGCGCGACACTAATTGCCGTAATGAACTTCTGTTTAAAAGTCTTAAAATGTTACGGTTTTCGACGCCCACGCGACCATTCACTGCCGTCCAAGAATTCTTGTTCGTTATTACTTCTATTCGTTCCTTTCTGAAAAATCACAATCGGTTTTTTCCCCCCGCATTTCACGTTAAATCCATCGCCTTCGTCGACCGTGTTCAAATCTGGCAACATTTCCGAAAATCCAATGCATACCGTCTTTTACAAAATACGTGCATTCATTTTGGGATTAGATTATACTTCTAGAAATACCCACTTGACCTTCTTTCGTATTATAGTAAAAACATAATATGAGATCATTGTTTGAAATGTATAATTTATTTTAGTATTTATTGTTTTTTAGCAGTATAATATATTTGATCTTATATTATAACATAAAAATACGGAAATATTATTAATTCTTTCCAATGCTGTATGCTTCGTTTTCATCTTAAAAACCTTGGATTTGTTGTTTTTATCAACTATTCGATTCTTCTATTACAACTAAATATACAAATTGTTATTATTTTAATGAGTACCTGAACCAGCTATGACGAAAAAAATGTTGTTTGAACTACAAAAACGTAAACGGTGTTTAGTTGTTTCATAATTTTTTATAACTAATTTGAATAAGATATTGTTTTAATATATTATGGTGTTGTGAAGGACATTACTAATTAAATTGATCATCATAAAAAATTAGTGTACTTGTACTACCCTACCTATATATAATTTATTTTTCATGTTCTTCATTTTTTTTTTTTTTTTTTTTTTTATTATTTAGGTTTAACAGAAATGTTTTCAAACACCAACGATCATAAACAAAATTTGACACAAGATTATCTAATTATCTATTCGAGTTTAAGACTTTTACTTTCAAGGTAATTATTTCCAAATATTTTGCATGTTCCAATATTATTGTCATAAAATTAATCTATTTTACAATGATAAATATATTATTATACTAAAGTATATTATGAGAATTTCATAATTTTCATTTAAATTCTACTTTTTTTATTGATAATACTTCATATTTTTCTAAATACGGGGGATATGTTATACAAAAATTAAAATATAATAACAGTAACTTATATAGTTATAACCATCTCGATGTAATCTATATTTCATATAGTAATGAATTAATTATAATATTGTTTAACAACAAATTTGAGAGTAATTATATAATATATACCATTAAATAAATCCTGGATCAAATTATTATTTATAATTTATATTTTTCAAATCAAATTAATTAGTAATTAATAAATTATAATTTTTTAAATGTATTTACTATAGTCATTAAACTTTAAAGTAATAATATAAATATAGTAAGTAGGTATACTTAAACCTGTAATAAAATTAGAAAGGAACTAATTTTATCATAAAAATAATAGACGTATGATAATAAATTCTGTTGTCTTCTTAAAAGTGTTGTGTAATTTTAAAACTTTAAAAATAGATTTATAATAGTCATAATTTATATATAAAAGCAATGTTTTAAAATTATAAATCAAAAATAGGAAATAATTTCCTTATGATAAAAATATTTTCTATAAATTTAATAAGGTGAGCATAAATACCATATAAGTATACTAATACGCATATTGTTTCATACTTAATTATGTATGTAAATAAAGGTATATCGTAGATATATAATTTGTGCGTTTGTCTTTCTACGTGTAGAAGGACAAAGATACACAAAAGGGTGTATAGCATGTATGTATTCCAGGGATAATCGTCAATATTTCCTGTTCTACAGCTACCTGACCAATATTTTGGTGGGGTAGGGTTCAATAGGGGGATGCAAGGGAAAGGTTATCGGGTATTATATACCGTTGTCGTGCGGTTTATCGCGCGTTCGCGCTTCGTTCGCTCATTCGTGTATTGTATGTGTATATAATATATATAGTACTAACATGACGACGCCCCGAGCGTTTTGTGTGTAGTATACCCCTCTCCATAACCCGTTTCCCCTTAAAATCTCTCTACCGCCCTGGTATTCGATATCTCGTTTGCTCTCAGGCAAGGAGAGGATAAGAAGAAAGGACACGGGTGGGCGTGTTTCCCATTGCGCTGGTCCACAATTGTAACCCACCGACTTCACCGCCACCCCACGCATCATTCTACTTACTTCGACTTTGGCTGTATACTCGAGCTTACAAGGGGGCACGTGATTTCAAAAGACCCCCCCTCGTCCGTTTTTAGAATACGATCGATAAAGCAAGTTGTCGTTGTCGTCGTCCTTTTATTTTCGACACTGTTTCATTCTCTCTTGTCCTTCGTCCGTAGTGGCCAGAACCATCGGTTAGTTTGGGTATTGCTTTTTAGATTTGTTTTAGATTCTCTGCCACTGTTGTTACTGTTTGTGTCTTTTTCCTTATATTTTCCTTTTGTATATATATACTTCACACATACATACATATAATACTATGTATATATATGTACACACAAAAAAGAACTTTGGTGAAAAAGTTGAGGAAAATATGAGGAAATGTATACTGTATTATATGTGAGTGGGTGGTGACGAGGGATATAGAGAGAGACACAAGTCGAATGGTTGTCTGTTTCGGAGGGGGTCAGTGGAGGTGGTTATCAATAACGCCCCGTCCCGAGGGTACGGCCAGCAAAGCGATCGTTATTTCCCCAAAGGCCACATCTTATGTACGTTCATATTATATATAGTCCAAAACCCTTTCTTGACCTACCAGCTCAGGTCGATACGCACGACCAGGCGCTCAATGTTCATATACTTTTGTACTTAAATTATACATCATACTAGAAGTTTCTTATAAAAATAACTATCACTGTAGATTCTATGTATAAATACAAATTGCAGTTTATATATTAAAATATATGCTCTCATAATTATATGATACTTATAATTTATTTTTATTCAATAATAATATTATTATTACAAATTAATTATATGGAAACGACAAATTTAGTTTTTATTGCATTCATTTTTTTAACTTTATATCGCTTTTGATATTTCGGGATGTAGATATTTTAGGTTTTGCATTTAATCTGTAAAGCGCGCAAAACAAACAAACGTCACGAGCCAACCAATTCAGTATGGCAGCTGTACAAAGTAATAACAAGGACCGCCGTTTATATATTGTGAAAGCGACTCATTTAATCATATTTCATAAATAATAATAATAATAATAATAATAATAGTAATAATAATAACCACATAGCGGTGGAGAGTTTAGAAGAACACTGCGCGGGGGAGAGAAAAAATTATAATAATAAATTTGAGCCGCAGTGGACTAGTTTTCTGCCAAACCGTTACCGTCGCCGGTTCCTCCGCCAAAACCTAGGAAAAATGTATTTATTTTTCCACAGTTCAATTTTTTTTAACTTGTTTATTTTTAATTGGTGCTCGAGTCTTACAACTACTTTTACCGTCTTCTTGATAATTGTACCCTAGACAGATAAATAAAACAAATAAATAACTGATGAAATCGGATACTGCAGTATATGTTATATAACATGCTATATGTTTGTACTCGTATTCCTTGCAATTTTTTATAACTACAAATACCAGAACTTTGAATTGACCCATAAACTATTTGTTTACATTAAAGTAACCAGTATTTTTTGTAATTGAAACTTTAATTTTTGATAAGATTTAAAGATATAATTATATGTTGGTCTATCTATTATACTTAATATTTAATAAAGAAACAACTGAACAAAATCAAATTGATATAACAAAAAAAATTAAAACCAATTTTCGTTAATTGGAACTTTGTTACATGCGCTTTACTTTTATACTTAATTACAAATAAATCTAAGCAATTATACATAAACATTACAATTTAAGACCTTTTTTCAGATTATAGTTATTATAACTGCTTATCCATTTATAATTTATTTTAAAATACCTAAACATTATATTCATAGTTTAACTTGAATATTTTTAACTCAAGTTTAAAAAGAAAATATTTATCCAAATTTGGTACTATGACAGTTTACTATAGGTAAGGAAAAATGGGATACAAACTACTCGTGATAATATAAGGAAAGAAAAAACTTTTACTTTGATATTTATTTACATTTGATCGATTATTTGGGTATATTATAGTTATAATAGTTTTAAATTGTCAATAATAATTTTTTTTTTTTAATTGTTAGCAATTTTAATTAATGATTTAATCTAAATGAAAAATATAAATATTATAATACAAATACTGTACCTATAACTGTTGCTGAAATTGTCAGCGTTGCGTTCACATCTCGTAACAAAAAAAAAAATATTTTGCCTCAGTCAATCAGTAGAAATACAAATGTAAGATGATGTGGAGAGCTGAAAATATGTATTGCCATTGCCCATTAGTATAGGTATAAGCGTTAATTTGCCAATCAATTAATTCTGTACTTAATTGACAAAATTTTACTTAAGCGAAATCGATGTAATGTCCAAATTTATTATTATGTTTACCATTTCAATATTATAGTTATAAGTATTGTATTTAATATTTCTAAGAACATTTTTAATCTCAAGTGATGAAAAATGATTACGATAAGTGTATAAATTCGTATTGAAAATTATCAACATTACCGACTGTCGTTATGAAATTACCAACTCCTGAAAATCATATTATTTAGAAAAGGTTATGTTAGATAGGCTAGTAAGTTTTTATTTTCCTAATTGAACCTTTTTTCTTTACCGAACACAAGGCTTTAACTTATGAGTTTACGTATACTTTCTTCTGATATTTTAATGATATATATAACTTATTCTTTATATTATATCGAGCGTAATCAATAAATTATATTATAATTTAATAACAATATATATTACTTAATATTATATAGATTTGGTTTTGTGCTCATAAATGTCGACGTCTGTTAAAGTTAAATATAATTTACTGTAAAAAAATAAATTAAAATTTATTTTAAATTTTCTATAATTGTCATGTTAATTATCCTATGCATATTTACAATATTACCAAAAAAAAAAAACTTTAGTTAAAGAGGGCAACCATCCTATTTATTTTATTCAACATTCTTAGCAATTAAGAGGTACAATTTTTTTATTTTTTTCATTATATAGGTATATTATTAATTCGAGTTCTTATTTTCTTTTTTGAATAATAATCAAATTTATATAAATAGCGTATATAAATTATTATAAAACAATAAGTACCTATAAGTATTGAAATATTGAGATATACAAATATAAGCAGAATATAGTACGTACTACATAATGATTGGTATAAATATATCTATATTCTTACAATTTTAGTTATATATGCTATATATTATATTGTATATATGTATATTGTATGACATTCGGTTGGTTAAATCCGGAAAATCCACCAGTGATAGTTTATCCCAATAAATAATTCATACAATTTCTTCCTTTAAGTTGTATATGTACACGTGCGAGATAAACATCACATGATGTTAATATATAGTATAATATAAGATTTAACGATATGTCGTGTGCGGAATGCGTCGACAAATTTGCTAGCCAACAATTATATTGCCTATATGTAGGTATAATAAGTATATTAAATATTAATAAATCTTTAGCCAAACATATTTTTCTTATCTGCAGGAACTATTTTTTCTGGAATATTTTTTTTTTTATCGTGATGGCAATTATGTAATGTATTCTATAATGAACATCTTGTCTTTTGTTTATGAATTCAATGACGCTAATCATAAACAGAGACATTTTGAGAAACAAACACATTTTTTTCTTACCAATTACATGATAATGATGATAATAATGATATCAATAAAATTTTTTTTTACAAAAGAACTTACTTCATATTTATCTATTAACCATTAAGATAATGTTATAGCGTAGGTATAATATGTGTATATACCGCGGCATACACAACTGTTTATAGATGCGTATTTAAATACT